CCTACAAACCTGTCTTAATGTGAGAAACGGCGAATTAATACCAAAATCGGAAATGCGGAAATGTCTGCTTTTCTTTCATCGTTTTAACCAGAAAGCTGGCACCTGGATGGTGAAGCAGAAAAACATGTGGACATTGAAACAATCAAAAGTCCTTCGTGGGAAAAAAAGCCTTTGGTCTTGCAAAAATACGCGGGATTGACATTAGCAATGCGATTGCTAAGGGGGGTGCAGCCACAGTCACTTTTGACCCGGCATTTTGTTAAACTGTGAGAGTGAGGAGGAAGAAAGAGGTGGGCAGTGGGCTACAGAGGTGACAGGTAGGGTGGAGGTACACGGGAGTCATCCTCTCCTTGGCTCCAAGACGATGGAGAGGTGAGAGCGGCCAGGTGGGGAGCCCTGGCCGCGCTGGGGACGGTGCTGGTGGCCGTTGTCCAACGGGACCTTCCCCGGGCAGCAGGGTCAGCTCTGCGGGACAAGCTGCACCTAAAGATGCTGTGGCTGCTGGGGGGCCCTTCCTGGGCAGCGTCTTTCAGCGCTTCGGCTCCAGAGGCTCTGCTGCCCTCCACACAGACGTGTTACGGTTTCACAGTGCCCTGCCTCTCCAACAGCTCTGCCTGCCCGAGCTCTCCTTTCCACGGCCAACGTGCAGATCTCTGCCACTGAAGTATGGAAGACCTTTCCAAAACCACTGTGATGAAAATACCTGGGTGCTACAGGAGCTCCTCCTGCTCCACCTGACTCTGCAAAACCTTAGAGAATAGCCACTGGTTTTGACGTGTTCACGAAAGAGATGCAGGTTTCATCTCATGGTGTTTGTCAAGGCCCAACTCCCCTGTCTCTCCAACACGTCAGTGGCCAGGATCAAGTTGTGGAAGCCTGCTGAGTGTGTGCAGTGGATGGTCCAGCCAGGGGGACCCAGCTCCCCTCGGCAGGCAGCCGACCTGCCAACGCTGAACGAGCGCCACCAAACTCACCACACCAGCCAAGGAACTCCTCAGAGACGCTGGCAGAGCTGCAGGACACCAGACATCATCCCTGCAGACCAGGGCACGAAGCTGCCAGAGCTGCTTGCTGGGGTGCCCAGGGCCACTCTTCAGCTGGGCTCACACCCCTCCACAGGGCAGCAGGGGACCCCCAGCCCTTCCTGCGCCTCTGCCACCGGGAGCATGGCTCTGACTGCCCCCACAACCCCAGCAGCATCTGCCCCTGTCCAGCCCGGTGGGAGCACAGCAGGCTCCAGCTCCCCTCAGTGTCTGGGCACTGAAGGGGACAGTGATGGGAACAAGTTGGCACAGCTGAGGAGCCAGAGCATCCTTGTGCCCCGGCTGCAGGATGGCGGTGCTGGCTTCTGCCTCACGCATCCTTTAGGCATTCATACGCAGCGAGCCGTGCACGCAGGTGAGAAGCCTTATCTAGAGCTGTTGAAGCACTGCCTGGTGACTGTGCTCATGGATGGACTTGAGCCTTTGTGAGAAACACTGATCAACTCAGCTAACACCGAGTGCCAGAGATTGTCCTCAGCACATCCTGATGTAAAACTCAGATGGGGAGCAACGCCAACGGGAGCAGAAATAAGCTGACCACGTTTCAGATCGTAACAGTCACATTTGGCAAAGGCATCTTTTTAAAATTTATTTTGTTTGGTTTTATTTTGTTCCTTCAAAAGTTTTATTGTTTGTTTTGTGTTTTGTGTTCTGAGCTCCACACTGACCCTTCCATGTGAAAGTTTCAGGACAAATTCTGCTTCAGAGCTGTCAGACATCTGCACCAGCCAGGCTGAAACCAAAGCAGTTCCTCTGCACACACACGGCTCCTGAATGCGGCCCTTTATTTCACAATGTCTCACCTGTACAGAGGAAACGCTGGGCATTTGAATGTACCACACGTTACATTCATCAGATCTCATCACAACAGATGGACTCAAAGTATCGGAGACACTGGGCCAATTAGCAGATTAGGGGTTTCCATATTGAATACATCTGTGCTTTACTGGTGCCATTTTTAAACAGAGAAAATGGAAAATAACTCAAAATATCTTTACTTCTCTTAGCCATGACCCAGGGGCCTAAGTCCCACCTTGCAATTATTTTAAATTTTCTCCTTTCTGCAACATAGGCCATGATCCAGCAGAGCACTTGGGAACATGCTTAAGATTCTGAATAACTGCTGTGAAATTACACCTTGGGGTGCGTGAGTGCCCTTTCACACCAAGACCAGAGTCTGTAACTCCCAAATGAACACAGCTTCCAGCATCGGGAGTCACTGAATTCAGTTCATCAGGAGGAGTTTTCTCTTTCCAAGTGTCCTGTGATATTCCATGCAAAGTACTGAAGCAACGTTGACTTGACCACATATTTTGCAGCCGTGCTCAGTAAATCTCCATGCCCGAGGGTCAACCACTGCTGTACTGCACCAGAAAACCCCACATTTCCACCAGTGACATCCAAAGCACAAACCCACGTCTTCCCCTTCCCGGGAAACCTGAAGAGCTCTGCTCCAAGACATGTAAAGTCTTATGAAAGTGCTGACCTTGAGCAGTGACCAACATCAGTGCTGATGACAGAAAATTAAACAGATTTGTTGGCCCTATAGTGAAGAAAACCTCTTCTTGCCTGATGGGCAGCGTGGTGGCACTGAAGGCCATTGGAGACATTCAAAACCTGCCTGGCCGCGTTCCTGTGTGACTGCTCTGGTGACCCTGCTCTGGCAAGGCTTGCACTGGGGGAGCTTTCCAGGTCCCTTCCAACTCCTGACATCCTGGGATTCTGTGAAGGCAGCCTCCCAAAGGCGGCGCCGTTCACAGAATCACAGAATCCCAGAACGTTAGGGATTGGAAGGGACCTCAAAAGCTCACCCAGTCCAATCCCCCTGCCGGAGCAGGAACACCCAGATGAGGTTGCACAGGAAGGCGTCCAGGCGGGTTTTGAATGTCTGCAGAGAAGGAGACTCCACAACCTCTCTGGGCAGCCTGGTCCAGTGCTCTGTCACCCTCACTGAGAAGAAGTTTCTTCTCAAATTGAAGTGGAACCTCCTGTGTTCCAGTTTGTGTCCATTACCTCTTGTCCTATCATTGTTTGTCCCCGAGAAGAGCCTGGCTCCATCCTCGTGACACTCACCCTTTAAATATTTATAAACATGAATGAGGTCTCCCCTCAGTCTCCTCTTCTGCAAACTAAAGAGACCCAGCTCCCTCAGCCGCTCCTCATAAGGGAGATGCTCCACTCCCTTGATCATCTTTGTAGCCCTACACTGGACTCTCTCCAGCAGTTCCCTGTCCTTCTTGAACTGAGGGCCCAGAACTGGACGCAATATTCCAGATGCGGTCTCACCAGGGCGGAGTAGAGGGGGAGGAGAACCTCTCTCGACCTACTAACCACCCCCCTCTCAGCTGAGGCCACTGGCACATCCATAACAAACCACCACTGATGCTCCCATGGTAGCTGCCGCACTCTTCTCATGGGCAGCTGCACTTCAGTGCAGCATCAAAGCATCTCTGTCTTTCCGGGGTGCAATGTGCCAGGCTCCATGGAGACCCTTTGGGATCCTCAGTGGACAGAAACCATCAGTCCAATTATCTGCTGCAGCGCCCTGAGCACCCTAAAATGCCCGCGCTCTCCCCTGTCCAGCGGAGCATTAGGAGGTGCGGTGCAGACGGTGTTGGGGGGTCCCTCAGGAGGAAGCCTGGCGGCGACTGGTTTAAACGTCACGAAAGAGCAAGACAACCATGAGCAGACAGACACACATGATATGTACAGTAGCCATTGATGTATTCGCACCATGAAGGGAATAACCAAATTTTTAGACCACAGAAAATGATCACGTTCTGAACATTTTAGTGCCAGTGAAAAGAGAAGGGAATGTTCCGATGTGGTTGAATGGAGTGGTGCAGCTGTCAGGTGTGGCATGATCTCTTCACTCCGTTTCACACAAGAAATGCAGCAGCATTCTTGTATTTCACACTACATGCTGTGGACAGAAAATTATCTCAGCGGTGTCTGGTCTGGTTTATACCTTTTCTCTCCATCTCTTCAACTTTTCCAAGAGAGCTGAAGCCCAGGCCTGAATTTAACAGAAAACCCCAAGCCTCTCTGCAGGGATTACAGGATTTGGGCTGTCAGGGCAGGCTGAGATAAGGCAGTGGAAAGAAAGCCCTGAACCCACCAAAATGCTTCCACGTGGTTTTTCAGTCTGTGGATTTTTACAAGTCTGTGGAGTGCTACTAAAATATCCCCGAAAAACATCTAAGAAAATTAAGCCCATTATCTCTAAGCTTCAATTCACCGTGGAGGAGGCTGAATTTCTGTAAGAAAACTACGAGGGGGTCCACAGGATGTTAGAAGTTGAACAGCATTGCTCTGGTTACAAAATCACACTGCCAGCAGGGCTGTGCGGCAATTTGACTCAAAAGATTTTCTCCCCAAATTCAAGGTGTATATAGCGATGTGAGAAAACGATCCAACACAGGAGGCTGCATGCCCCTAAAAATCAGCTGGCCCATAAGGAGCGTGAAAGGACTCCCCGATATTCCAGCTACAGGCACCTGCAACCACTGCATTAGACTGTATTGATTATTGGCTTACACAGGAGGCAAAGAGCAAACCTGGGAAAGACAGGGAAAGGAAGATGATGGTTTCATCATCAGCTGGTTTTACCTTTGCTAATGTCCCTGCTCACTAAAATTAAGATGCTGGCTGGAACTGGGCTGTTGAAAAGGCTGAAATTATTAGCAAGACTCTGCCGAAAGAAAAGTGCGCTCCCTGCCTTCCTGTAACAAGGACCGGGCTGCTTGCAATTCAAATAATTTAAAAATAAAAGAACAAAAATCGGAGCAGTCTGAGTCGGTGCTGCCAACCCCACTGGTGGTGTCCTGGGTGGGGAATGCAGGAAGTGTACTCAGCAGTGCGGACACGGGGCTCCCGCCCTGGGGACGGAGCAGGGGCCGTTTCGGAGCATGCAAGTCGCTCAGGGGGATTTCTCCAAGCATTGGTCAGCGAACGCGTCTACAAAATCGTGGCTTCGGCAGCATCCGCGCTCCTGGGGTCCTTCAGGCCAATGATGAAGCTGTTGGTTCTCCTGGCCCCGTGAACTAGGGAGACTACTTTGACTTTTTCCACTCGATGGCCCCTGGCCACAAGCAATTCAATGTCTTCTTCAGGAAACTCACCTGTAGGGATTTTAAAAGAGGAGCTTGTAACTGAAACCACCGTTGCCTTTGATGCAAAGCTCTGTCCTAACCCTTCGGGATCTCCAGTGTGAAGGGAGGCCATTTAAAGATGTGGAAGATGATCCTCTTTGGGAAAGGGAAAAAGACATTGTTGGCACCTACTGTTATTTGTTATTATTATTTTACTGTTAGTTATTATTAATTTACTGTTATCTGTAAGTTATTCTGCTTACAGAACACCAGGCAGCCTCCGCTCAGTGTCAACCATTATCAGTCCAAATAAGATGCAAGGCAAATCAAAACTAATGACAGTAACACAAGTTGCCAAATGACCAAGTTCATGATAAGCCTTCCAACTTCCCCTTTGTTTCTTAATCTTGCAGCCATCTCCCTTAGGTTGCTCGCTCTTCTGCTTTTATTTGGTTTATTGGCATTTTGTAATTTCTGTGTGGCTGGAGACATGGAGCTGGGGATGCATGTGGACAAACTGAGCAGGCACACAAACCCCTCACAGTTAACTAAGCTATACCCATCACAGATATGTTGCATACACCTTGGTGATGCCAAATGTCCAAACCCACCAATCAGGACTTTCTGAAGTTCTGCATTTGCTTTCATTACATTCCAGTTTCCAAGCCTGCGGGTCACACTTGAAAGACATTTTCAGATTTTCCTCTGAAATGGGAAGGCCTAGGAACTTCAGCTATTTTGTGTGAAATGAGAACCAAATGTCACCGATGGTTCACACTGCTAAGGTCTGGGGTTTTGTGAAAAACACCAAGTAGACCAAGACTTGCACCAGGACACGAGCTGGCAGTGTCAGCATTGATGCTGCATTTCCAGCACTGTCAAGCTATGAGTCTTGTCCTAAGCCTTTGTCTTCTCCCCAGCGGGTGGAGTTGAGGGACACAGGCTGGAAAGTGAAGGAATATCATTTATGGCGGCAGTAGTAACGTGTATGAAGATCTGCTGGCTGTCAGGACCTGTCTGGGTGAAGATGTGCTCACAATCCTGTTCATTAGAATAGCCCCAATGGCATAATATCGTATCGCCAAAAGGTCTAAAGGCCAGGACAAGACTGCTACCAGGAGGTGTGCGGGCACAGAGGGAGGGCTGGGGAGAAAGACGTACCTGAAGAAGTTTGGACAGTCGGTACTGGAGGGGCCAAAGAGCATTCCCCAGACAAGAGGGAGAGGGCACAGCTCAGCAAGGGCTCCAAGCTTTGAAGAAGTTGTGCTGCTGCTTTTCGTCTTTCCTAAAACCCTCTGCGCCCACTGGGGACCCTAGAATGTGGCAAGCTGTGCCCTGGGCTGCTGCGCTTCCACAGGAGCGTGCTAAGAAAATCCCACTCCTTTTCTAACCACACCAGATCTGTGGGACACCCAGTGTCCATACTCACTGTCAACCTCCACGGTGTTGGACTGAAGCTGTGGGTGAAGTCGTCCAAGTGCCAGACTTTCACTCAGATTCTTGTTAAACGTTAAAACATTTACCAAAACCTGCAAGAGAACAGAAGATCCTCAGTAATAACAATAAAAAAGAGAACAGGAGCCAACTTCCCGAGCATCCCCCTCATTGGTGGCCTCAACATCTGCAGACGCAGCAGGCAGAGAAGAGTTTGAACTGTTCACCAAACACAGGGTTTTGCACATACAAAGACACCCTAGAAACAGCCTGCACGCTGTCGGTGGGAAAGCAGTACCTTTGCAGGATTGCCTGGGCTTTTTGTCACACAGTTCCTGTTAAACTGGGAGAGTGGTGTGTCTGGAACGCGGTGTAATCCCTCAATCCCTGTTTGTTACAGCCAAAAGCTCAGCACGGGACTTCTCCAAACACAGCACTGGGAAGTAGTGGTTGGCTTTAGTTTTGCTCTGAATGGTGCCTACCAAAAGGTAAGGAAAACGGGAGCCAACTTCAGTTGCACCTTTCCTTTTAGCAATGCATGGCTGTTGTGCATGCAGTCAAGCTGTACACAAATACTTCACCTCATTACAAATCATAAATTAGGAGAAGGTGCAAAATTTACAGCAAGTGCTGAGCAGGGAGGAATTCAGTCGGGAATGCACTGAAAGGAGCTTTTCATAGGGAAGAGGGCTAAAGGGCTGCCAGTCTCCCACAGTTCTCTTAGTGAAAATGCTCCTTTTTGTCCTAATGACCCTTAAGACAAACTTTGAACAGGTATTAGAATGACACAAAACCAGTGCAGATTTTGCCAAGACGCTTTTCCTCCACAATTGCGAGTGGAGCCACCAGAAAAGGTGCAAGAGAAGTAAAATAGTAGCTCTGAAACTGGTGACATCAAAGGCTGAACTGGTAATCCTGCAGCCACCAGTTTCCACACAGCCTGGGAGGTCAGGAAGGGAAAGCCTGTGCTGCAGGAGCTGCTCTGAAGGGGCAGTGCCCGCACACAGCACTGACCTGAACGATGCCGCTCAGGGCTCGGTCCCCGTTGGTAGCTCCCAGGCACAGGTACGTCCCACACATCCCCTCGGATGGCCTCACGATGGTGGGCAACAGGAAAGACAGGGGCCGCTTCCGAGGCTCAATGAGGTTTTGCTGCAGTGGAAGAAAAGACACACTGAAGAATTTCAGTGAGCTGACTCCGGCTCTGCTGGTGCTCAGATTGCGCAGGTTCGCTTTGTACTCTTTATATTCAGCCAGCAATGGCACTTGTGTAGTTCTGCAAGGCTGCCACCCTCACTGTTACAACAATGCTCTCTAACATTAACGGCACCCGTCCTGTTTCAAGCTGTGGTTTCTTTTACAGAAGCCATATGAAGCCATTCACCCACTTGTAACGTGCCAACCCAGCAGAGGTGGATGGTTTTAAAGTACATGGCAAGAATAAACAGCAAGGCAGCACAAGAAGCCACAAGTACTCGTCTGCAGTTGTTTCTTTCCAAGACCTGGAGGGTTTTTTTCTGCCATCCGTCACTTTTAAACCTGCAGAGCAGCAATTTATGAAGAGAGTCCTTAATTCAAGTCCAGAGAAAAGGACTGTTGCTTTAAAGTGCATCTGGACTGCAGGGAAAATAGCTGAGAAGTTCAGCATCATTTGATAAAACTGCATTATAATGATAACTGATACACATGAAGCCTTCTGTTTACTCTGTTTCAGTAGCTCATTTAATGAAAAAATAGGAGTTTTCTATGGACTGTTGTCTCTCAGTCATTAATAAGGCACTAAATAGCCTCCCTGCTGTGGAGATAAGAATACAATTTAAAAAAAATGGTACAGAGAGCTGAAATAAAGAATTTGTCAAGTCGTTCATTACCAGCCTGGGAATTGAGTGGTTCATTGTTTTATTCTGCCAGGAGAAATCCAACATCTGGCTGTTCAGGAGGACTCCAGAGGGTGTTATTATTCCACTGCCAAAGGGACGATTCAAAGAACTGAAAAGAAACACAAAGAAACGTCAGAAAAATCCTCCCAGAGATTTTTGTACACCCCAAGGCTTTCAGGGCCCAAATTTTCTGTCCCACTGTGGCCTGCAGAGACTTTTCTGTAGTTCTTTAGGGCTGGTTCGATGTGAGGAGTGAAAGTCTCCATGTCCTTAGGAGCAGGAACCATCTGGGTGATAGCAGCTCTGTCCTTCCCTGTGGGTGACGGATCTGTCTCCATGTCCCTATCAGTCCTCACACTTGGCCATCATCTCTCTCCAGGGAGCAGATTCAGGCCAACCCAGCCACATTTCATGGTGAGAGGGCTGTTGGATTGCACAGGGCAGAGCAGTACCAGCTCACACATCTCCACCCCATCTTCCCCATTCTTCCTGTTGCAGGACCAACTGGGACAGAGCAGCCCAGCTGCCTCAGGTCTGGTCCCATCCTGTCCTGTTGAAACTGCTTTCTTCTCCCAGCTCCCACCCTCTGAGTACATTATGGAAGGAAGCAGTAAATCCTGTACCTCACAACTGCAACAATGAAGTCATCAGGTCCCATGACAAGGACCTGGCTGGCAGCAGGTCTGCTCTCCACAGAGAAGTGAGGCACGCGGAGATCAGACGAGAAGGACTGGGAGTCATTAATCAGCTGGCGCAGGGAATTGGCTTCAGATTTACTTCAGCAATGAGGGAGGGAAAGAAAGCCATAAGCCTAGGAAGCCGAATAATCTCTTGGTCTCTTGTTGGGCGTGCAACTATACAGCTCCTGGACAGGGAGCTCCTCCAGTTCACCCGATGGAAGGAGACAAGATGGCTCGGTCCACACAGAGCGGCAACGCCGTGGACCTCCCAGGCCCTGTCTACAGTGGTAAACTCACCCACGATGGACAAGAGGTGGCACCACCTGGCTGAATGCTGTCCTCCAGGAGGAGGGCAAGTCAGGTCCAGCTCTGGCCACCAACGGGAGCTAAACCTGGCTCTGAGGTGGGAGGCTGGGCTGAAACCCTAGGCCTGGCCTCTCCCACACATCTGAGTGTACTGCAAAGGCACCAAGCCTTACAGTGGGGAAGGGAAAGCCAGAAACTTGCACGTGTGGTCATGACCGTGTGGATGGCTGTTTGTACAACATGCTGAGAAGGAATATGTAGAGGGGTGAGGAAGTGGGAGGAATCCTCAAGATCAAGCTGGCTCCAGGAAACCCTTGTGAGAGGACATCCCACCACCCACTCCAGAGCCGTCCCGTGGTATCAGCTGTGATCCCTGTGGAAGAGTGACCCTCAAGGGCTGACCTTTCCTCAGTAAAACAGAGGTAGGAAAACCTCCATTTTCCCTGTGCGCTGAAAAGAGCAGATTTAGGAATGATATCCAAAGAACACATCTTGTGTCTGTCACCGTGCCTGTCAGCCTCAGACCTACCTCACCATGCCTTCTGCAGCATGAGCGACGGACACGTCATCGGATGGGTCTCCCAGGTTGCTAGCTAGGCTCAGGGCTATTTTTAGTGTCTGAAATAAGGTAAAAAAGAAGGAAAGAAAGAAGGAAAGGAAAGAGAGAGAGAGAGAGAAGCAAACATTCATTTAGGTGGCCCTGGAAATACAACTTCTGATGCTCCAAATAGGAAGAGGTATCTGGTCTCCTGGAATGTTGGCTAAAGCCTATGAAGGAAAACATCTAAAAGCCTGGTCCTGGGAATACCTCAGTGCAAAAGGCTGCCACATGTGGGTATGGGGACCAGAGGGCATCAGTTTTGCAGGGTAAACTGTGCGCCGGGGGAGCCAAGTGTAGGCAGCAGTGTTGGTGCACGGTGGAGCATGGCTGGCAGGAGCCGACCTGTCCGTCTGCGTTGCCAGCTGGCACACAGGGTCACCAGGATACCACTTCCTTTCTATTGCCAATCCTGAGCGGTCACCACAACAGCAGAGGTCACACTGAACCCCAGTGGGACAGTGGATCCCAGGCTCGCCATGGCCTCTGGATGGCAGCTCCGCTGGCACAGCAGCATTACCCAGCAGATGACCTATTCTGCTCACCAGCTGCTGCCCATGTGTTCCTGGCTGTGAGCCACCCAAAGGATTTGAACAGAAAGTGTCAGTCCCAGCACACTTCAGGGAATGCTGGTTTAAGAAGAGGAGAGGATCTGGTTCCTCACACGTGCAGAATCCTGCCTACACCGGTCCGTTAAAAGTGCAAAAAGATGCAGTTAAAAAAAGACATGGTTTGTCCAGCCCTGTTTTTCAGTGCGTAGCCAGAGGACAGCCACAAGGAGAAACGTGCTTTTCAATCAAGCCAGCTTGCAGGTCATGCCATTGTCATTCAAGATTCGAGAGAGCACATTACTCTGCAGGTAGACAGCCTAGATGTGACTTCTGCCTTGATACATCAACAACCTCTCCTGAAATGCCAGCATTTATCACCTGATGTACAGCGTAGATCATGACTAGCTTCTGGAGAAGGTGGCATCTCCATGAAGCAGTCTCCTGATCACCACACCATACGGAGGATGTACAAGAGGCTTGGTGGCCAGGGAAGAGGTCCCCCGGAACAAGCAGCCCACATCCATCCCACATCCACAGGTTAAGGATATCTTGGTCATGGCTGTCCCGGGGCTGGACTATCTGCTGCTGACCTAGCACTGAACCTCAGCCACGTGTTCAGCCGTGGGGTCCCAAGTAACCAGGTTACGCATCTTCTGAAGTGACTGCCCTTTATGTGGACGTCACTGTTCCTCCGCTGTGGCACGATAGCAAATGGGTGAAACTTTTGGCCTGGTGCAAACATGGAGCAAGCAGATTCGTCTAAAGTTTCCTGAAGAGAGCTCAAAAATAACTTAGGTGATTCAACCTTCTCTGTCTCTGCAGGTAACATCTCCCATTGTTGAACTTTGATGAGAGGCAATCAGCTCCAAGCATCCACTGTCCTGTCTGCCACAACGCTGTGGTTATGTACTTGCTTAAAATTTCCAACCTGTAAAATCCAGCCATGGGTCTGTTAAGCATCTAAGATTATAACTCTGCTTACAGAGCAGGAAACAGGGCACCTGCCTGACTTTCTGCAAGGCTGCAATGTTCTGGTAGGGCTGACAGCACTAAAACTGGAAAAATCATGATCTGGACCACTGAGATGATGAGGTTGGCTAAAACGTGAAGGTTTAAAAAAAATACAAAGTGCTGGGTCAGTTTTCCTTGTCATTGCCACATAGAGGTTTCTGCTTGCAGCATCACCTTGCTGACTCTCCCTGCAGCGCCCTAGCAGTGCTCTGCTACAGCCAGGGCCACTGTAGCACAAGAGGTAGAAGGAATAGATGGGACCACCCTCAGCTGCTGTGGGGCCATTCTGAAGGGATGTTTGCATACAAGAAATGGGCAAAAGCCAGTTTATTCTTCTGAAAAAGCTCTGCCTAAGCCAGAAAGAGCTCAGCTGAGCAAGAGGCATCTGCACCTACCTGAGGCGGCAGCACAGCTCAGATTTACACAATATCAGTCTATGTGCTCATTCTCCTCTGGGAATTACCTACAAACATTTTTGTACAACCAAGGAATAAACAAGTTATTCCCTAGCAGCACAAGAAATGCAGCCAAATGTCGAAGCTCCTCTTACCTCTGCCATCCAGTGCAAGATATTCCCTCTGGATACTTGACTTGTGATGTTAAAGCCCTCGAGGATGTTCAGTGCTGTGAGCAGCGCAGGACCTGCATGGGGAGGTGGGGGACTGAAAACAAGGTGACCTGTGAAGGGAAGAAGAGAGGAATGAAGGTGCTTTCATCAGCTATTGTCCAGTCACCATACTTTCCCATGAGCTGGTGTTCTTGAGGATAGGGAAACCCTTCCACATTTGAGGAGAAATAATGAAAAGCAACATGACTTGAAAAAGATTTCCCAAAACATTCCCCTTGTATCTTTCTGTTTCTTTATGATGGGTGAAGGAAGCCCAAATAGGGATGCTTTTTTTACATCTGAAATTCAGTTCCTGTTGGTTGGCTGGTTGGCTTCTGGACTGCAGCACGGAAGAATGGAAATGAGACGGGTTTGCAACATTACAGCTACAACAAGGGTAAATACCGAGATTTCTAGAAAAGAACAACATTTTAGCAACTGTTTGGATAAAGTAAGGGTTTCTCCCTTGTAGATCAACTTTGAACTGTCTGCAGACATAGGTGCTATCCTATGGTCCAGCTTCTATCCAGACACTGCACCAGTGTGTGATCATGGGTCACGCGTTTACCTTGATAGACCGTGTGGACGGGACTCTCCACTGTGACACTGTAATTGCTGAAGTCTTCCTCCACCAAGACTCCTCCGTAGTTGTGGACCTGCGTAGGAGAGCAAAGCAAGGCTGAGAAAGCTGGGTCAAGGCTTTCTGCATTCCTCAGGCTGGCTCGGGCGGACACACACCACCCTGTCAAACAAAGACCACTGGGGTTCCTCAGCCAAGCACCAGGGTCCTCAGGATGCCCTGAAAATCTGCGTCTTCGTGGTCTTGGTGGCCTGGCCTCACCATACACCATCATGGGAAGGCTCTGCAGCTCACCCACCCCAGGGGTGCTCTGAAGAGGTTCTGCCTACCCGTGAGATGGGGACTGGCACTGCCTCACAGGCTGCGCTCCCTTGGGTGGCAGGGATGAGAATATTAAAGGTCATGAAGCATTTGAATACTGCCAGGATAAAAGATATTTATGGATCCAGAGTAGAAGGAAGCCACGTGTAAGAGCACGTCACCATCAGCAGAAATCTTTAGCATGCAATTCCCATCCTACTTGTCATTATTTCAGTTGGTAGTGGGTCTGCAGTACCCCAGCCTTTCTGTAAGACCCTCCAGAGGTACAATTTTCCGGGCTTAGTAATTTTCCTGAACACAGTAAATAGGGATAATTCCCTCCACTGCAGGTCTTCTGTGGTTGAGTCAAGATGGAGATGAGGTAGGACCATCATAACTGCACGCTGCTGACCTTTAAGTCCTCTGGAGCAGGTTATATTCTCAGCCAGTGTCCAGGTGCTACTGTGCTCACGAGCCAGCTCTTTCCTTCCACCCAGGAGAAGCCACACAACCTGGTGAGAGGTTCTGCTGGGGTCAGTTGCTGCCAGGAGTGCTCTGGATTTCCACCCAAAACCAGGCAAGAACAAACAGCCCAGGCTGGACCCGACAGCTGATCTGAGCAGGGAGGTGCCCATGCCAGGAGCTGGCTCCTCGGAGCTTGGCTGAATCAGCAGTGGAGTGGGGCAGGAGGAGCCCAGCAGCACAGAAAGGGGAGAAGCCCTGGTCAGCCACCTGACACCACCTCAAAATTCCCCCAAGAGCACTTTTCTGCACCTGTGCCTGGTGGAAACAAAGGGCAGGGTGTTTTGGAGCCTTATTTGATGTCACCACGTTGATGCCCCCCCTTTGCTGGAACAATAAACACGGTGGGAAGCCAACACTTTGCTCTGCTCTGCAACCAAAGCCGCAATTGCGCACTTCATCCCAGAGCTCGTCAGGGTCTTTGGTGGTGCAAGCCTGGGCCTTGCTCCCCCATAGAGTTTGCACTTCCCTGTGGCAGCCCTTGGGGCAGGGGAATGGGGGATAAAGCAGGATTTAGTGGTGGAGATGCACCGCAAGCTGAGGACTTTTCCTGTTCCTTGTTCCTCTCCTCTGCTGTGGTCCAGATGAACTGCAGGAGAGGATTTCCAAACACAGAGCTCATGAATTTCTAAGACTTAAGCTGAATGAGCCCATTCCAGGTTATTGACGACACACTGAAGGTGCATCACTGGAACCACAATGGTAGGGGAAAACAGTGCCACCAACCACCCCAACTGCAACTACACAGGTATAGAAGTTCTCTTGTTTGTTTGTTTGAACCACAGTAATCGCTTTGTTTGTTGTTGCTATTTTTCCCAGAGCACCTCTAACAACAGGAGCTAAACTAGGGCAACCCTAAGAGTGACCAAGCCTGTCTGATCCTCTGCTAACAAGGCTCACAGTTTTATCTTTAAACCATCTTCCTGAAGGAAGACTGACAGTTCCATTTGCTTCTCAACAGTGGGGCATCTCTCATTATGGAGTCCAAAGGGCTGTCACTGATACCAACACAGCCCAGAGCGGGGTTTGAAATTGAGATTCTGCTGCCTTTGAAAAAAACGGACTGTCCTGGTTATAGAGGAGATGGAGGTTTAACTTCTGTAGGCTGTGGAAGTGACCTGCGTCACTTACACCACTGCAGGGACAGGAAGGAAAAAGGAGGCTCCGTGCATTTGTCCCCATCGTTGTGCTGACACTGGGCTATGGCTTACCCCCGCGTCATTACCTGAAGCAGGTGACATGGCACCCCCAGCCCAGGCTGTGTCGCGCAGTCTGGGGAAGAGACAGGGATAGACATGGCTCACCTCGGAGATTATCTCCTGGGTCAGGTTTCCGCTGTAGAAAGCTGACAGCCCTTCTGCCCCCACCAGCTCCAGCACAGCTGCGAGGTCCAGGCGCCTGACGAACATCCCAGGCAGCAAGGGCTGGCCGTCCGGCAGGAAGATCTCCCGAAATTTGTCAGAGTAGTTCAGGTTCTTCAGTTCACTTACGGCTTTGGCTGCGGGCGAGAAGGGGAAGGGCATCCAGAAAAGCCAGGGCGCAGGAACACGCAGAGTGGCTGCGCGCCTGACAAGGATGCTGTGGAGCTGCTGCTGCCTCTTGCCCTATTTCAGAACTAGAGGACGGCCGGATCCTGCATCCATCAGAGCTGGGAAGGAAACCCAAAGAAACCCCAGCGCCCGTCCCTGGCTGGCACTGGGTGGCTCCCAGCGTGGGGTGCTCTGACCTGTCCCCGACCACGGCTCCAGTTTTGCTGCCACCACGCTCTGTCCTTGCAGACCGCGGCTCCTGCGTTGCTCAGCTCCTAACACTACCCATCACCAGGTCCAAAGAGTCCTAATTTAATGATCTACATCCCCAGCTGCCTTGTGCCCCAGCGCGGTGGTCGGTGTGCTCCTCTGTGCTGAGCAGCCGTCCCTGGCTCCCCACCAGGTACTCACCCAAATCGTGTGTGACGTTGAACCCCTCCTGGGCAACACCGGCTGCCAGGCCCAGCAGCTCGGACCACGGGAGCCTGCCAGTAGAGAAAGGACAAGGAGGAACGTGTCTCGGAGGGGTGCAGCAGGGCAGGGTGGTGGGGAGAAAGCGCAGGGCTCGGCTCTGCAGTCAGGGGGCTCCTGAAAGACCTCCTGTGGGGCCAGCGGTGGACAGAAGGAGCACTGAGCTCAGTGGGTTGTTCCTTTTTAGCAGGATCATATCAGCACCCCACAGTGTGCACCAGAGAGAAACGTCAGTGCCAGGACAGGGGAAGGGGCATCTCTGGAGCAAAATCCCAAGCCAGGTCCTGACCCTGAGCAAGTCATTCAGATCCCTCCCTGTCCCAACAGGGCACCACGGGCGGCCACACTTCTTAGGGGCCAGCTAAAGGGAGAATGAAAATGCACAGACATGCGTGAAAGTGTTCTGTGCCTATTTCCAAGAGAACATTTACTGCCCACCTTGTTAGCCAAAATTTTGCTTCGCAGAAAACCTGCCCCAGCTGATTCTTTCATTAAATGAACGTATTTTTCACCACAAGCCTCCAAGGACCCCTTAGATAATGGTTTTGACTGTGCACCTCCCAGGAGCCTGTGGGGACCCCAGGGCACAGCCAGGGCAGCACAAGGACAGCCTGCCTGTGCCAGCTCCATGTCTTACCTCCCGTGCAACTGGTGCGCCCGGTGCATTCCTTGTATCGTGCCTGGCACCCCTACAAGCAGACCAGGCTGTAAAACAGGAAGGACAAAAAGGAGGAGTAGTCTTCTTCCCAGGAGGACACAAGACATGGTCCCCAATTGCAAGTCAAGGAGACACAAGTAATATGCACACGGAAAGTGTCTGCATGGTCCTTAGGAGAGCGGAAAAGGTTTGTGGGAACCCTTAAATTAGGGAATAAAAGGGTGTGGAAGGAAAGAGGCAAATTCAATCCTGGTCTCAGCCCAGTCTGGTCAGGAGAAATAACTCAGCAGAGCAACATGGGACTGTGCTCCTTCCTAGGACTTTGTTCTCCTGGGTCCCCACTTCCAGAAGGACATGCCTCTTTACTCCTTAAGCCTCGCAGGCTCCAGGTGTTTTGGGGCTGCCAAAGAAGTATTTTCCCTGGACTCTCCATGTCTGTAGGGCCCAGGATCTCCCATGATGGCCGAGGCCTCCCGTCACTTCCCCAGGCATCTCCCCCTCAGCCTGAGAGCTGGGGGAAGGGGAGAGCTGGAGACATCAGGCAGCATCGGCCTTGAAGGGGTTGCCGTGGGATGCTGGTCCTCACCTTGGTGTCCTTCTGCAGGTCCCCCTCCAGTGGGATGCCCAGAGGAGCCACCCCGCGGAAGTCGATCACCCAGCTCCTGTTCTTCCGGATGTCGTGGACCAGCATCACGCCACCCCTGCAGCGAGACAGGGGTCACGGTGCAGCACCGGCTGGCCCTGCAACAGCCACTGCCGTAAAGCCGAAATGAAGAGCGTGGTGTCACTGGGGCCAGGGCCAGCTCTGGTGCGGCGGGGCCATCACAGCAGGTCACCAGCCTCAGCAGCAACACGGGGCTGGCCAGCGGGCGCAGGGAGCGCTGCTGGTCTTCCCCAGAAAGCAGTTCAGGACAGCCAGGCCAGGGCCAGTGCAGGACGCAGGCAGCCCCATGCTGAGCCTGCAGCGAGGCTGGATCAGTCTCTGCCAGCCTGGCCAGAGGGCTGCTGGCTCTGTTCTGCTGCCAGACCAGGACCATCTGGGATCTTCTTTCTAATCTGAGCCATTTCGCAACAAAACAGGGTTTTTGCTTACACCAACAATCTGTGGCGCAGCCTGGAAAAGCTATCAGGTGGCGATTTATGCAACGCTCCCCAGACCTCCTGCAGAGCAGACAGCATGGGGCTCATGTGGATGCCACCCTGGGGATGAGGGCTGGGAGGAGGCCACCCCTCGCTGCCACGCCGCACCCTGCTGCTGCCCGGAGCCAGGCTCAAACCTCGGCAGAGCTGAGCTTACAGAGGGAAGTGCCCGATCTCTGAAAGCATCGGGACTGAGCTCAGTGTGTTCCAAGCTCCTGGCACGCTCAGCAGCCTGTGGTCACTTTTTCAACCCTCTTGAGCCTAAGGCTTGTACTTTCCTGGCTGCCACTATGGCAGATGCAGCTTTTCCCTCCCTGGTGCACAGGAAGGGTCCCCATCCCTGTGCAGATGTGGACACGTCCACCATCTGATGTCAGATAGCCAGTACCATGCACCAGGACTCATGCTGCCGTGGAGGAACGTCTCTGCATGCGTCCTCAAACACCTGCTTGAAGACAACCACAGATGACAGCACGGGGTGCCCAACACTTACCCGCCAATGCCTGACGTGTGGGGGTTGACAATTCCTGCGCAGAGGGCTGAGGCGATGGCTGCGTCTACCGAGGAGCCCTGCTTGTTGAGCACCTCTATGCCCAGGGCTGTGCACCGGGCAGCATCCGTGACCACGGCGCCACGGTGGAAGATCTGCCAGAAAAAGAGAGCAGTTGGCCCTGGGGAGGGGTGCTGGGGACACCCAGGTCTTCACCCAGCTCCTTGGGACATGAAGCCTGAGGCCAGTGCCAAGGCTGTTCCATTTTCAGGTGCCTCCAGGTGTGGGTGGGAGTAACATGTCTCTTGGCATGTCCCTGCACCAGGGCAACTGTGGCTGCTCTGCAGGTAGCCGTGGCCACCAGCTCAGCCGGCATTCAACAGCAGACACACTAAACCGCTGGGCCACATCTCACCCTGTACTCCACAACTCCAGAGCAGGGTTGGAGTAACCCTCAAGACCAATGGGTGATGGCCCTCAGTACCATGGCTCGTCCTCATCCTTCCCTGCTGCCAGCAACAGTGCTAATGCAGTCACGGGAAGTTTTGAAAGGTTCATTTTAACCCCGTGGTACAAATTGATGCATCTCAGCATGAGCCAGACTGGCCTTGGGAATGGTGAAGGGCCACAGGAGGCTGGGGGCAGGACCGGCCCTTCCAGCAGTGTCAAAAGGGGCTGTGTCCCACAGGCTCCCTCCAGCGCCACCCCCAGCTGCAGGGCCAGGCCGCTCCACTCCCAGTGGCTGCATTTTGTGTGCCAGTGAGAGAGCAATGAATTCAAAAAGAGCAAATCTCTTCCATGTGCACTCGCAGGCAGCTCTGCCCTTCTGGGCAGCACGTGGCGAAGATGCTAGTGACGACTGCCTTGGCCCTTCCGAGGCTGCAGTACTTGGCAGAGGATGTTCTGCAGGAAGGGACAGCCCCGTGGCCACGCTGGCTTTGCTCTGCAATTTAGCACTGGCCTGTGGGACAGATTAGCAGGGGGTTCAGCTCTGTTTTCAGCTATTCCCCTGCTTGGCCCTGGACCAGGAGTGAGCCTGGGCATACAGATCCATAAAACTCTCTCCAAGTGGAGATACATGAAAGATGCCTACTGCTTAACTAAGGACTGCTTTCTGAAAGTGTTCATGCCTGGCTCAAACCACAGCTGGAGACACAGAGTGGGGCTGCCCGTCTCTCCCTGGCAGTCCCCCAAATCTGCCAGGCACAGCCTCCCACATCCCGGCCATGGGGCAGGGGCTGAGAGCGCAGCTCACCTCTCTGAGCATAACCCCCAGCTGCAGAACAAGCTTTTGAGACAATCTGAGTGAAATCACAGAGAGAGACTCAGCACCTGGGGTCTCACTGACACCGGATGGGACTCACCAGTACTCCCTCTGCTCAACTGCTGGCCAGGAGGAGAGTTAGGGAGCTTCTCCTATTTTTGGACCCAAAGCCCAACTGCAAAAGCCACTGTTTCATCTTACCTGAGGGTCTCCAAAATAGATCTGCATGATCAGGGCCACTGTGACCCCTGTGGCGAAGGTCAGGCAGGCGGTGATGATGACGGTCAGCCCATCCTGCCGGCACCTGCAGTCTCCAGAAAAGGGGTCCTTGCTGGTCTCCTGGAGAGGGGACACGTCCTGGCTTCCCATCTCTGATGAGGATGAGGGCAGGCGCTGGAGACGCACAGACTTCAGGAAGGAGTCTGGGTCTTTGTGGGCAGCAGGGAGAAAACAAGTGTTAGTGATTGAGCAACACGGGGCTCCGATTGCGGTGTCTGCCCAGCGCTAACCTTACACCATGCCCCTTCCAGCAAGGCTATCACCTTCCCCATTGATCCAGCTCTCAGAGACTTTCTGGCTCAGATTCTACTTTAGATCAGTTTACTGATCCCTTCCTTTAGCTCTAGTTATTCCAAACTGACTTCCCTGGAGATGAAGAGGGGCAAAAAACCTTAATTTTTCTCCATTTCAGTCCATTCATCAGTCTTCAGTGATGGGCCCACACTTTCTGCTGTTTGGAGGGGTTCTCAACACAGCACTGACTTGCAAAGAGCTCTCTGAAATGCAACAGGACTGAAGAAGAGGAAATTAAGATATTAAAAAACAAATCCAGCAGCCTTATTTGGAGCTACGCTTGAGCTGAAGTCCCTGAGCAAAACAGAGGCGAAGCAAACCGTGGGGCCGTGGTACAGGAAATACCTCCACATTAGCAAGGCAGAGTGAGGGGAGAGATGAGCAAACCTGCAAACTGAGTGCCTCAGGGCGTCCACCCGCTCTGACAGCCAAAGGCTGTGCTTAATTTCTTGTGTACTCCAGCTGACAAGGCCCTCTGCGAAATCAAGCCCCTCGCAGAACACCCACCTCTGCGATGGCAAATGCAACGGGGCAGGGTTTTGCTGGACATCTGCCGGCTGGCAAACAACGCTCAGCAGGATGAAAGTTCTCTTTTGCTCCAAAAGACTCCTTGAATCTCTGCTCGCACCCGCTGCTTCCTCTGTGGTGGGGAGAACGCCAGCTGAGCATGCCCTGCTGGTGCGCAGGCGCTGCCAGACACACAGAGCTGCGGGGACAGCCGTGGAGACAGGTCTGACCCTGCCAGGCTCTGAATGGGACCAAGTGGCTCCAGGGCACCATCCAGGGCTCCTGGATGAATTTTGTTGGGAGCTGCAGTGCTGTGATGGGCAGAAGAGGAACACCAAGTGGAAAAGACAAGAAGCTCACCCCTCCACACAGGAGACGTTTCTGGGGTTTTGGGAAAGGGAGAAGGGAGCGGGAAGGCAACTCTGCATCCCCCATCACCCTGCCATGCTGCTCCACCAGTTCTGCCAGGCAGAGTTCCCCCTCGAGGGACTGCCAGCCCTGTCCTCGCCATGGTAGTAAGACCACCACCTCCAGGGATGCAGCTCTCCTTGGACCAGGCAGGGAGGTAGTTTTAATTTCAGTGGTGCTGGAACCAGGAGTAAACCCCCTGCAGCCAGGGACTCCCCTTAGGGCAAGTTTAGTCTCATTCATGCTGTGGTGATTTAGGCACCTGATTGGGAAAGGCTCAGCTTTCCCAGCCCGTGCCTCTGACCATGCAGAGCCCCTCACCAGCGTGTCTGGTCTGAGCGAGCTGGCCTGCAGCATGCGAACAGTGACTGGGGAGGGCAATGGGCTGGGGTGCCTCCCACGGGGGCCATGACTGGCAGGGGATGCCATGGGGCAGGGATGTCACATACAGCCCCTGGCACCAGCCTCTCCCGCCCGCGCAGAAGTCCCTTTGCTCTCCAACACATGCATCCTTCATTACCCTGGGCAAGTTACTGACTCTCTGTGACCACTGGTGCTGCACGGGGACAGCAGGGCCAGTGGGTCTGAGGACGGGAGCTCCTGGAAGGGGTCAGTCAGGAGCACAGAGGGCAAGAAGCAGCCTGTGAGGCCAACACACTGTGGCCTGTCCCACCACCAATGTCCGTGCTTGAACGAGAAGTCACCAAACCCTATTTGGCCTCTGTGGGGGCTGTGGCTTCACGGGGGAACCAGGGCCACTTCATCTCTGGAGCTGCTGCAGAGCGGACAGCAGAGACTGGAGCCACTGGTGGGCTCTGGCAGGCGTTGCAATATGGGACCATTTGGTCCCTTGGGGGGTCTGTTTCCAGCACTGACAGCACAACAGAGGCTTTCTCTGTTTAAGGAGATCTTCTGGGTGGTAGAAACCAAAGCTCTGGGTTCCCTTCCTGCCAGGCTGGCAGATAACACGGCATGGAGAAGCAACACACACGACATGTCAGGCGAGCAAGTTCCCCATTACACGGGGAAGAAAAAACGTTTCTCTGAAGCACCGAGAAGGAGGCAGGCGTTACAAACAGCTGAAGGACTTTCCGAGGACCGAGGGCCGCCAGGCTTTATTGCAGC